CATGGCGGAGGCTCGTATTCTGACCTTAAATTTCAGACCTGCATAGAGTGACTGTCAGCAAGGGAATGCGGCAACAGGCCCAGCTGACACCCCCCCACATATGAAAAGTGGCCCTATGCCTTTCTGTATTCACAGAGCACTTGACAGAAGCCGTGCAGGTCCCTGGGGTGGGTGACGGGGCAGCTCCACTCAGCCCCAGCTGCTGCTTCAGGCTGACGTTCCCCAGGAATGAGGCCTTTGTCAAGGCAGGCAGATTGGGGAAGCATACTCCTAAAACCTTCGGGACCCACCACTGCCTTTGGCGTTGTATTTCAGTGCCTGCTTACACGCACCCTCACAATATATTTCCCAGCACCAAAGCTAGGTCTTGCTCGCTGCTACATTTATTCCTTTTTCCCCCAGTCCAAGGAATATGGACAACACTCTACTTGGCAGCAGCCCTTTACACAGCGGGAGACTGGTGCTGAGCCTCCTCCCACCCCCCCAGAGTCTGGCCTTAGCCGTGATGGGTAGCATCAACAGACAGTGAAGATATTTCATAATATCCTCCCAATTTATACATCCCCTTACGCTAGGCTTGTCTTGGTGCTGGTTGGTTTGTGGTGGGCTGATTTTTTTTCAGCTTCAGGATGACATAATGAACTCCTCTGCAGTTTCTGATCCACTGTGTCAGAGACCTTTCCCGTGCCCTGCTGCCCACTCCCTCTGTACAGCTGATGGCTCCTACACACAGCACTTTGCCTTGATCCCTACTGAATGACATGCTGCGTGTTTGTACCTGTCCATCCTCTGCTTACCAAGGTCTTTTTGCTTTCTAGTCAATTTAGCTGCAAATAAGGATTTTGGGCTTGTGTAAACGCTGAGCAAGCAGCCCTCTGCACACGTAACCCTGGCAGAAGGCAGCAGGGCTCGCACACAGCTCAACGCAGCCATGCCCGTCAACACGAGTAGAGACACGTCTTCCAGCAAGGTAGGCAAAAGAGCTGAGGCTGGAGAGAGAGCGAGCAGAAGGTAAACCTGCTTCTCTCTAGAAACAGGCTTCTGGCCTGAGCGTGCCTTCTCCCGCCAGCCTCGGCAGGGGGTCCCAGAGGAGGCCGTGACCCAC